AGGAAGTGACTGAATTGTGAACTGTAGCACTATAATCCAGCCACACTGGTTGTCTTTAAATTCCATAGAAATGATTTGGTCTTGTTGCTGATCCATCAGCATAGAATGCTTTCTCTACCTACATGTATCCTCAGCTGATCCCTGCTTATCTGTTAGATCCCAGATTATCTCCATTACCAGAAGCACTTTTCAACGTTCTTTACTATATTTGAACATTATGCATGGTTTTAGAGGCCTCAGTCTTTTTATTTTATGGCATAATTTCAGTTTATTATAAATAATTTGAATGATTAATTAATATTTGTCACTTCCATTAGATAATGAGATTCATTAGCGTAAAACTACTGGATTAGCTATAAAATACAAAGTGGAATAGGTACTGAGAAAACTCTCAATAACACTTAGAAAATTCATTTCATTCATAAATGAAAGATTGAGGAAACAAATATTAGGCAAACTAGGAGTCCAGAAATTTTCAATTAAAGAATACCAATACAAAGTCAAGACATAAAATGAACCATGGAGCACTTAGGGAATAACACATTTGGGTATGGCTGGAACATATTATAAATATTTCTTGGATCACACCACATTAGTAAAAACAATTTTAATTTTTATAAATTACAGTGTAAGTTTGGGAGAAAAATATGCACATGTAAGTTTTCAATGAAACCACTTTTTATTTTTAAGTTTTTTCAGGGCCTCTTTCACATCGTTACTCCTTAGGCTATAAATCAGAGGGTTTAGCATAGGAATCACATGGGAGTAAAACAATGAGGTCATTTTGGCTTGATCAAGAGTAGGAAGAACTTGGCCGGAAATACATAAAGAGCAGAGTTCCCTGGAAAATCACAACAGCAGTTAAGTGGGAGGTGCGGGTGGAGAAAGCTTTGAACCTCCCCTCAGCAGAGTTGATCTTTATCCCTGCTAGGATGATATAGCAATAAGACACACAAAGCCCTGACAGAGTATGGTTCAATGAAGCCAAAAAATGGTGAATATCACTAACTCATTAACTTGTGTGTCTGAGCAAGACAACAAGAGGAGAGGTAGGACATCACAGAAGAAATGGTTAATCACATTCGACCCACAGAAACATAACCGGAATGTTAGTATCGTATTTGCTGAAGCATCCACAATTCCCACCATGTAAACCCCAGCCATGAGCAAGGAGCACACTCTGCTGGACATGCTGACTGTATAGAGCAAGGGGTTGCTAATGGCCTTGTACCGATCAAAGGCCATCACTGTCAGAAGTAGACACTCAGAATCTACAAAGGAACAGCACACCAACCATTGCAGAGCACAGCCATAGAAGGGAATTGACTTGTTCTTGGCTATGAAGCTTACCAGCATCTTGGGTCCAACTGCTGTAGAATAACAGAAGTCACTGAAAGAGAGATGGTTGAGGAAGAAATACATGGGTGTGTGAAGGTGGGAATCCATTCTAATTAAAATGATCATCCAGAGGTTTGCAACAAGAATGATGAGGTAGACAATTAGAAATGTGATAAATAGGGTCGCTTTAACTCCAGGGTCATTGCTAATTCCCAAGAGAAGGAATTCATTCACAGAAGAGCAATTTTTTCCATCCATTTTTCTTGATTCTTCTAAAATGCTACAGAAATGATTAAGAAATGGTTTAGGTATGACTATGTAAAACTGTACATTTGCTAATGAAGGTTATTCCAAAACACCCTACTTTATAAGACATAAAATGAACCAATCTGCCACTAGATTGCAGATTATTACCCAAAGGAAGTAAGTAAAAATATATTAATTTACAATTTTCTACATATTTGACTCCTCATTTTTTCACATGGAAGGTTTTTGTTCATCATTCTTTAAATTTGGTGACTTGGAAACCTACCTGTGATGAGCAAGTCTTTCTGTGCTTGCCCCTGGTAGCTGAATACCACAGACAGATTGCATTTTGTTTTTATTTAGTGTCATTTGGGACTGAAGTCTCTCACGCCTCTGCCCTCACACTTCTGTAGTATACAAACATGTGATTAATTATATTTCTAGCTCTGTATTTTCCCCGTGACTATTGCAACAGTTTTATTAGAGGCTGATTTTAAATTCTTTGCACTTGCATCACATGGATCATCTTTAGGAAGGTAAAATGATTTTTATAATATGATTCATTGCTATCCTGAGTTTATACGATCTTCCTCCAGACTTCTAATGAAATTTAAATAGACCTCTTATTTAATTATTTTTATCTCAAGTATTATTCATTTTAATTTATTAAATTAATAACTTTATTAAATAAATGATTATTTGTTAATCATTATTTATTATTAATTATTTTTATTCTGGTTCTTTCATTTCAGAAACAATCACTTTCCCCTTCCCACTTAGAAGTGTAACCATTCTTCAACCATTATATTTAATATTTTGTTTTCATAAATCACATTTGATGCCATTCTTAAAACCACATATTATCCAACAGGATTTCATTTAATTTATGACTATAACATCCATATACTTAGCACACTTTTTCTTGAATTATTTTTATTTCATTCAGATATATATCTTTTACTACACCATAAACTCCTTAGAAATAATAGCTGGCCTTGGCTAATTTCTGTATATCCTGCAGCCCTAGCACCAAGTCTGGTACAAGTATTGTTTAATTTAATATTAGTTGGTAAATATTTTAAGTGATTGGATGAATTGGTGACAGAGAGAAGAAGAAATAAAGAGGTTTTGCAAACTATTTCAACTCATATAGATCATACATGCATTTGTACATGGAGGAGGCCTTAGGGAACGCCACGGTCTATTTGTGTTTTTTTTTTTAATTAGTTTGCTTTTATTCATTGCAATTTTTACAAAGTTAAGAAGTATTGAAGTGTAATTTTGTGTCCTCTCCAAATATTGTTAAAATAGCCTTCCTACCTAAAGCAATCTACATATTTAATGCAATCCCTATCAAAATCCCAATGGTGATTATCACTGTAATAGGAAAAACCATCTTAAAGTTTGTATGAAACAAACAAACAAAGACCTTAAAAAGCCAAAGCAATCTTGAGAAAGCAGAACAA